CCGGCCATGGCCTTCAAAACCTTCTCCACCGACGGCACCTTGGGGTGGAAGAATCACAGAATTACAGAATTACAGAGGCTGGAAAAGACCTCTGAGATCATCGAGTCCAACCTGTGACCCAACCTTGTCACCCCCACCATGGCACTGATGCCACATCCAGGCTCTGCTTAAACACCTCCAGGGACGGGGACTCCACCCCCTCCCTGGGCAGCCCATTCCAAGGGCTGATCCCTCTGTCTGGGAAGAACTTCTTCCCAAGGTCCAACCTAAACCTGCCCTGGGGCAGCTCCAGGCTGTGCCCTCTTGTCCTGCTGCTGGTTCCTGGGAGCAGAGCCCGACCCCCCCAGCTCCCCCCTCCTGTCAGGGAGTTGCAGAGAGTGAGAAGGTCTCCCCTGAGCCTCCTCCTCTCCAGGCTGAGCCCCCCCAGCTCCCTCAGCTGCTCCTCACAGCACTTGTGCTCCACACCCTTCCCCAGCCTCATTGCCCTTCTTTGGACACTAAGCAGACAAGAAGGAACCCGTGAGCCCCGGGGAGGTGGTGGGTGCCCATCGCCCCGTCCCACCTTGCCGTAGTCAGCGCCCAGCTCCAGGCTCTGTGCCCTGCCCAGGGCGCTGGCGCAGGAGGTGCAGCGGGGATCGTCGAGCAGTGCGACCACCCGCCCCCGCCGCTCCCGCAGCGCCGGCTCCAGCTCGGCCCGCGCTGCCGCCAGCGCCCGCGAGGTCCCGTCAAGAATCTGTAAATGGTGCAGCGAGGTCTGTAGGTCTTAAAGAGAAAGCCCAGGGCTAGTTCACGCTGCTCCGGAGGCTCGGCCATCCCGGCTCCCCCTTCGACGCCGGGCCCCGGCGGAGCCGCGCTCCGGCCGTACCTGCAGCCCTGTCCTGCAGGTCTGAGAGCGCCGCGTAGGTCATGGCCTTGAGCTGCGTGTGGATGGAGAGCCCCACGCTCCGGCTGAGGCCTGCAAGGCACCGGGAGCCGCGTCAGCATCCCCGTGGGAAGCTCGGGATGCGCCCTCCCCAGTGCCTGGCGAGGCTCTTACCGCCCAAATCGGAGATTATCTGCTTGCGGGGCACCTCGAACTTGTCCACCACCATCTGCACGCCCTGCCGGGAGAGAGGAGCCGCTCAGCCCGGGGGGAGCAGCCGCGGGGAGGGGAGGAAGCCCCGCGCTGGCCATTCAAAACGCATCTTTAAATACAGCCACGTCACCTCCTCTCGCCTTCCAAACCACCTTCCCTGAGGGAAATGCGGCCACCTCCGGGCAGCGCCCTGTGCCCGGGGCGAGGCCGCCTGGGGACCCACCTGGGGGACGTTGGCGAGGTGCTGGCGCAGCGTGCGCAGGGTGGTCGGCACAGCCCCCAGCCCCGGCTCCATCTGCCCCTTGACCCGCTGGCTGGTGACAAAGGCGCAGGTGACGCTGATCCTGCCGGGGATGAGCGGGCGGTCACGGGGCTGCCCCGCAGGACACGGTTCCCCCCCCACCCAACACGAGTTCGCGGGGCGTTCCGGGGGACTCACAGGATGATGAGGGAGGTGAAGGACAGGCAGGCCAGCAGGCAGTGCCGCCGGCAGCCCAGCGAGCGCCGGTGGGCGCGGAGGCGGCCCCCGCAGCGCCGGCGGCTCCGGCAGTAGCAGAAGCACATCCCGGCCACCGGCACGGCCACGGTGAAGAGCAGGGCCACGGCGGCACAGACCACATAGCCCAGCTCGTACTGCACCACCTGAGTGACGGGAGAGCCTCATCAGTACTGGGACACCGAGTTTGGGGTGCTCCGTGTGCCCACGTGCCCCGTCCCAGGCGGATAACACTCCCATGGAATCCCCTGCCCCACATCCCGGCTCACCTGCGATGTCCGCACCGATCCAGGGTCATTCAGGGCTGCCCGGAGCAACTCTGCAAAATAAATCATGGTACTGATGAAACAGGTCCCAGCCGATGCTCCCCCAACCTTCCCGGGGCAGCAGCATCGGGATGGAGGCAAAGTCCTCCTCCGTGGAGTGGCTCAAAACCCCTGGAGCAGCTCCGGACATGGGAAAAACCCTGGGATCCTGGTACCCACAGCAGTGGGATCCTGGCACCCACAAGAGTGGGATCCCGGCACCCACAGCAGTGAGATCCCAGCACCTCCAGCAGTGGGATCCCGGCTCCCCGGGCTCAGGACTCACCCGTGGGCAGGGGGTTCTGCTGGATGAGGTCCAGGCAGCGCCGGACGAGCCCATAGAGGGGGTCGAGCGGGCTGGGCACGCGGTGCAGCGCCGGCACTCGGATCTCGGCGTGGCGGTCGGTGAAGCGCAGGACGGTGGCAGGGCCGGTGGGGTGACACTGCTGGGTGCCCGCGGGGTGCAGCAGTGCCCAGGCCACGAGCAGCGCCCGGGCCAGCAGTAGCCCTGCCGCCCGCATGGCTCCGGCGGCGAGAGGAGAGAGCCGGGGGGCTCCGTCAGCCTGCGAGCGGGCGGAGGGGCATTCCCGGCTCCTGGACGGCTCTCCCCGGGCTCGGCTCCTGCCCCGGGAAACCTGCCTGACGGGTCGGCCGCCGCGCACAGCCCAGACGCTGCCGTGGCTTGTTCCCCCGATGGGCTCCCCGGGGCGCCTGGGCTTGGCGAGGCTGCGTGGAGGCGTCTCCCAAACCATCCCGGGCCTGTTTCGCAACCCCCCCGGCATCCCTGAGTCACCGGCGAGGGGTCCCCCGCTGTCCTCCCCCTCCCTCCTTTCCCAAAACTGGTGGCAAAGAGGGGTAGGGGGTGGTGAACGCTGTGTGCCCGGGCTGGAGGGTGATTGCACAGACGCATTGGAAGGAGGGATTTGGGATTTGGGCATCCCTTCGGGGGTGGAAAAGCCCTTGTGGGGGGATCCTTATCTGTGGGTGGGGTCCCTGTGTGGCAGAATCACCCTCTGGAAAAGCATCCCAAGACCTGGGGTAGCAACAAGAGGGGAAAACAGGGGGGAACATATGGAAAGGGATGCTGGGCCCCAGTTGGCAATGCCCACTCGCCGGCCAGGTGTGAGATGAGTTTTCCAGGCTCAGCCAGTCCCTGTCCCACACCCCGAGGCAGCCACAGCTCCTTCCCAGGGCCGGCTCCTGCTCCTCGGCCGAGCAATAATTACAGGCTTGGCTGGAAAAGCAGGAGGCTCAACCTGATCTCCCGTGGGGGGGGAGCAGCCCCCCTGTGCCCAGACGGCCCCGGGGCACCCCCGGAGCCGGGACCCTGCTCGGTCGGGCGGGTCCAACCGGCCCTTCCCGGCGTGGATGCTAATCCCTGTGCTTCCCCTCCCTCTGGAAAAGGGGCTCTGCTCCCAGCTGGAGGTGCCGGCAGGGTTTTTCCAGGCTGGGCACAGGGAGCTGCTCCCCACCACCCTCTTGGGAGTGGGGTGCTGAGGACTGGAAAATCCTGCCCTGGCTGGGCTGGGTCCCCATCCTGGGACAAAATTCCCAGGGTCAGGAAAGCCTGGGATCTTAGCATGGTACCTTTATATGCGTGTCTGTGCATGGCAAAGGAGCCTCAGCTGCCCACAGTGGGGTGGGGATGGGGACACCAGTGATGATTTCCCATTCCCAACACAATTTCCCACTCCCATGACGATTTTCCAGTCCCACCATGATTCCCATGCCCATGATGATTTTCCATTCCCACCATGATTTCCCATTCCCACCATGATATTCCATTCCCACAATGATTTCCAATCTCAACCATGACTTACCATTCCAACCATAATTTCCCATTCCCATCATAATTTCCCACCCCCATGGTGATTTCCCATCTCCACCCTGATTTCCCATTCCCATGATGGTTTCCCATTGCTGATGGGATGGGGGATGCTGGTACTGGAGCTGTGGGTACTGGGAATGGGGTGGAGATGCTGGTTCCAGGGATGCTGGTGGCAGGATGGGGTAGGGGATGCT